GGGAGTGTCTGGGTGTGCATGGGGCATGTCTGCGTGTGCACAGGGCGTGGGGGGAGTGTCTGGGTGTGCATGGGGTGTGTCTGGGTTTGCACGGGGGGGGTTGCCGAGGGGACTCCTCTGCTTTGGGGAGACGTGGGTTGGGATCTCAGGGACCCCAAATGGCCAGAGATGCAGTTTCCATGGTAACTGCAGGCCGTGCATGGCATGCCCCGGGAACTGAGATCCCATAGCTTGGGGGCCGGGACACAGTCACGGGGGGGGGGGGGGGGCTGCAGCAGACCTGCCTCGGGCATCGCGCCCCCAGGAGCATCCCAGAGCTCCCGGTCCCTGCTCCTGCCCCCCCAGCCCCGGGCAGACCCCGCTAGCTGGAGTGGGTCCCTCCAGCGTGTGCAGTAGTGGGGAAGTCCTGCCGGGTCCCAGCCAGTGGCGGGGTCAGGCCCTGCAAGGGTTAAACGCCCCAGGGACCGGGACTCCTGGGAGTCAAATTCCCCAAGGACCCCCCACCAGAGTCAATCCCCACAGCGAACCCCCCCAGGGGCTGGCCAGGGCGCTGCTTCTCTGTGCCCCAACTCCCAGCTACCCTTGGTACCAGTGGGGCAGGATCTGGGGCTGGGAGGGGGCATCTAGCCCCAACACAGCACCCGGGCAGAGCCAGGGGCAGTGAGGATGACCTGGGCCCAGGGGGAAAAGGGGGGGTGTCTCCCGCGGCGCCCGCCCCAATGCTCCCTCCTCACCTGTGTGTTTGCCTCTGCGGCGCCCCCCTCCAACAGACTGCACAGCAGAGCCAGGCCCGGCAGCCGCTCGCCCCCCGAGGGGCCCGATTCCTGCAACACGCCGTGGGGGGGGGGTCAGACGGGGGCTAGGGCTGCAGCTCTGCGGGGGGGGGGGCGCTCCAGAGGCTCACTTTGCTCTGGAGCAGGATGGGGTGTCTATACCCCCTGCCCCGATCTCCAACCCCCGCAGCCCTCACTCTCCCTCAGGGCGTCAGGTGCCCCCCATGGCGGGTCCCGTTTTCCAGGGGAAACTGAATTCATGAGGCTGTTTTCCCAGCCAGAGCCTCAAGGCCCGCCATGGCAGGGACAGCCCAAATCAGGGGGCCGATTGCGGGCGCTGGGTGTGTCCTGACACATCACCAGCTCCCTGTGCCACCCCTGGAACTGCTAACCCAGAGCACTCCCATGGCAGTGCCCAGCCCCCAGAAACCCAGCCCCGCATGGCAGTGCCCAGCCCGCGGGAACCCAGCCCCCCATGGCAGTGCCCGGCCCCCGGGAACCCAGCCCCCCATGGCAGTGCCCGGCCCCCGGGAACCCAGCCCCCATGG